CGGCCATCTTCTGGGTCTTGCCACATGAGTGCAGGGGTCCAATGACTTGGGCCATCTTCTACTGTTTTCCCAGGCCTTAGCAGAGAGCTGGATCAGAAGTGGAGCAGCCGGTGCAAACCAGCTCCCATATGGGATGCTGGCACTGCAGGCGGCGGCTTTACCCATCGCGCTAAGCATCGGCCCAAAGAGAGAGAGATCTTCTATCTGTTAGTTCACTCCCCAGATGGCCACAAACAACCAGACTATGCCAGGCTGAAGCCAGGAACCAGTAATTCCATCCAGGTCTCCCACATGGGTAGCAGAGGCCCAAGCACTTAGCAGGAAGCTGAATTCGAAGTGGAGCAGTGGGGACTTGAACCAGCACTCTAAAATGGGATGCCTGCATCACAAGTGGAGGTGACTCAAGAGATTGGGCTCCTGCCACCCATGTAGAAGACCTGAATCGAGGTCCCAGCTCATGGCTTTAGCCCTGACCCAGCCCCAACTCTGGCCATTGCAGGTATTTGAGAAATGAACCAACAGATGGAATCTCTCTCTCTCTCTCTCTCTCTCTCTCTCTCTCTCTCCCTCTCAAATAATTTCCTGAAAAAAAGCAAAATTTCAGCAACATTTTAAAAAAATAATGTCAAAACAGAATCTCCATTTGATCTAGCAATCTTACTTCTAGGTAGATAGGAATTAAAAGCAAGCTGTTTTGTTTTTAAGAAATGAGTAGAAAATTTATTTTTAAGTTTATTTATTTGAGAGGCAGCGAGAGAGAGACAAACTGAGAAAGAACTCCCATCTGCTGGTTCACTGCCCAAATGCCCGAAACAGTCAGACCTGGACCAGGCCAAAGCCATGAGCAGGGCTCTGGGCATAATCCAAGGCCCTCACTTGGATGGCAGGGACCCAGGACTTGGGCCATCAAGTGCGGCCTCCAAAGGTGCCCAGTAGCAGGAAGCCGGAATAAGGAGTGGAGGCAGGACTTGAACCCAGGCTCTCAGATGGAGGATGCTGACATCCCAACTAGTGGCTTAACTGCTAGACCAAATGTCCATCCCTGAAGGCCAGGTCTTCAAGAAATATCTGTCCACTCGTGTTTCTACCTGCATTGTGCCCAATCACTGAAACGTGGAAGCAGCCCAACGCAGAACACACATATGAGGGGCAGTCTCCAGTCTCAAGAAGAAAGGGAATTTGGACTCCTGTTACAACATGGATGAAGCTGGAGGCCCTTTAACTGGAATACGCCAGTCACACACAGACAACTACTGTCTGATTCCACTTTCATGGAGCTGTCAGATGCATGAAGGCAGCAACTAGGAGCGGGGAGTGCTGGGGGCCTTGGGGAAGGGGAGGAAGAGTGTAGGGGTAGAGTTTCATTTTTGCAAGATGAAAAGAATTCTGGAGCTGGATGGGGGTGAAAAGTACTCAGTACTTCTGCGATAAACACTTAAAAACGGTTGAGATGATAAAGATTTTATTTATTTGAGAGGTAGAGTTATAGAGAGAGGGACAGACAGAGAGAAAGGTCTTCCACCCGCTGGTTCACTCCCCAAATGGCCTCAATGCTCAGAACTGAGCCAATCCGAAGCCAGGAGCTTCTTCCAGATCTCCCACGTGTGTGCAGGGGCCCAAGCATGTGGACCATCCTCTACTGCTTTCCCAAGCCATGGCAGAGAGCTGGATCAGAAGAGGAGCAGCCGGGACTCGAACAGGTGCCCATATAAGATGCCGGCAACACAGCCACTATGCCACAGTGCTGGCCCCGAGATGATAAATTTTACATTAGGCGTATTTTCACCACAATTTAAAAATTTTTTAAAGTTGAGCAACAAACAAAAAATGACAAAAGGGTTTAAGACAATAATTGTAAGGAAATAAGTATAAATTTGGAAATGACTTTATAAACAAAGGTATCCATTACCTCAGATGTTTAACAATAATGATTAAATAAACTGTAGTGCATCCATAATTTTTATTGTTATTACTGTTATTATTTGAAAGAGACTGAGTGGCTGTGATTAACCTGCTGTGCTACAATGCTTGCCTCTAGTCTTTGCTTATTAATAATGTTTATTTTCCTGATTTTCAAAATAATACAGATTTGTTACAGAAAATGTGAGAAATAAGCAATTATAAAGATGAGAACCGGAGTGGGTGCTGTGGCGCCCCAGGGTGAGGGCCGCATGGGACTCCTGCAGCCACCTTGGAGTGCTGCTCCAGGTCCCGGCTGCCGCTTCTAGCCCGGCTTCTGCTGGTGCATCCTGGGAGGCAGCAGGTGACTGCACCCCTGCCACCCCTGTCAGGGAGTGATGGAGTTCCAGGCTCCTGGCTTCAGCCTGGCTCAACCCTGGCTGTTTACAGGCATTTGAGGAGTGAACCAGCAAAGGGAAGATCTCTCTCTCTCTCTCTCTCTCTCTCTCCCTCTCTCTCTTTCTCTCTCTGCTCTGCCTTTCAAGCAGATGAAAATAAACACCGATGGGCTGGTGTTGTGGCGTAGCAGGTAAAGCCGCCACCTGCAGTGCAGCATCCTATATGGGCGCTGGTTTGAGTCCTGACTGATCCACTTCCGATTCAGCTCTCTGCTGTGGCCTGAAAAAGCCATGGAAGATGGTCCAAGTGCTTGGGCCCCTGCACCCTTGTAGGAGACCCAAGAGGAAGCTCCTGGCTCCTGGCTTTGGATCAGCTCATCTTGGGGCGTTGAGGCCATCTGGAGAGTGAACCAGTGGATGGAAGACCTTTCTCCCCTCCCCCCTCCCCCGTAGCTCTGCCTTTCAAATAAATAAATAAATCTTAAAAAAGAAAAGAAAAGAAACAGTGAAAAAAGACAGAAATCACCTATTTAAAAAAGATAAAAATAAATTAAAACTATCCAAAATCCGAAAATGCAGGGATAACCATGGTTAATGTCCAGTATTCATCCTTTCAGGAATATTCATGTATTTTTTTGTTCAAAATTGAGCACATATTTTTTATTTAGATTTGTATCCTTTAAACTTTTTATTATAACAATGTACATGTCTATAAAAAGAGTATTTATTGGCGTCGTACTATGTGCAAAAACCCTTCTCATGAGTCACCCTGTTGAACTCTCACAGGCCCCTTTGAGGTGTTACCCTCCCCATTTACAGACGAGGAAATTGAGGCTTGGGGAAGTCATTTGCTAAAAGCCGCATAACTTCTAAACGATGCGGTCAGGAGTAAATCCAGCCGATCTGGTTTCACAGCCCAGGTTCTAAACCACACTCTTACCTGACATCCCACGCCATTAAACTTCTTTGAAAACCTGATTTGAAAAGCCGCTGCCTAGTAGCCACTGAAATACATATAGCACATCTCATCCATGTAACCGTTCTCCTATCACTGTGCGAGTGACTGCTTTCCAATGCCTCACCTTTTCTTTTCTAAGATTGATTTATTTATTTGGCAGGTAGAATGAGAGAGAGAGAGAGGTGTCTTTGATCTGCTGGTTCACTCCCCAAATGACCACAACAGCCAGGGCTGGTCCAGGCCAAGGCTAGGAGACTGGAGCTCCATCTGGGTCTCCTGCATGGTGGCAGGGGCCCAAGAACTTGGGCCATCTTCCTCCGCCCTCCCAGGACATTAGCAGGGAGCTGGATCAGAAGTGGAGCAGCCAGAACACTGATACAGGATGCTGCAATATGGGACGCTGGCGTATTAGTCTCCAGATCTTTTGGCTGAAGCACAATGCTGATCCCTCCAAATATCTTGCTTTTTAATTAAAATACTGAAGAAGAACATCATGGGGGCCAGCGCTGTGGCATAAAAGGTTAAGCTTCCATCTGCAGCACCAGCATCCCATATGGGCACCGGTTCAAGTGAGACCTGGAAGAAGCTCCTGGCTCCTGGCTTTGGCCTGACAGCTCTGGCCATTGCAGCCATTTGGGGAATGAACCAGTGGATGGAAGACTTTCTCTCTCTCTCTCTCTTCCTCCCTCCCTCCCTCTATCTCTGCCTTTCACATAAATAAAGGAAGAAGAAGACCTTTCGGGGGCAAATATTTGTTCTAGCAGTTGAACCGCTGGTCAGGACGCCTGCATCACCTGTTACAGTGCCTGGGTTCAGGTCTCAGCTCCGCCCCGAATTCCAGCTTCCTGCTCATGCGCATGCGCCCTGGGAGGCAGCAGCGATGGCTCCAGTAGCTGGGTACCTGCCACCCACGTGGGAGGCCCAGAAGAAGCTCCTGGCTCCTGGTTTTGGCCTGGCCCAGCCCTGGCCATTGCAGCCATTTGGGGAGTGAACCGGCAGATAGAGGATGTCTCTGTCTCTCCCTCTCTGTCAACTCTGCTGTGCAAATAAATAAATCAATCTTTTTTAAAAAGCAAGCGTCTTTGTTCACAAATCTTTGTCTTGTGAGGCCTATTTTGTAATTTTATTGGGGTATATGTGCACATGTGAAAATTCATGATCCAAGTGACAGCCATAGCTAAAATGTAATAGAGTCACTGAAAATGACAGTTATAAAAGTTTTTTTTTTTTTTAAAGGAGGTCTGTAACAAGATGGCAAGAGGTCTCCTGGGCACCTCTTTGCCTGTAATAAGCAAAGAACCATCAGAAAGCAGCTCACTCCCTGGCTTTGCCAGCTGCCAGCCAGGCGACCTTGGGGGTCACCCCATCTCTCTGAGCCCAGTTGCCTCACCTGTGAAAGGGGCCTCCCTGTGGTTGGGTGGATCAGACCCAGCGCAGTGTGGTGTACGTGCCAGTGCTCTGTGTCCTGGAGGTGGTAGTTGCCCTCCTGGGAGCCAGGGACTGAGCAGAGGCCTGTCAGACAGGAAGGAGGGTGGGCATCCAGTCCCTAGTAGGAGTGGCACTCTCCGTTCCCCGGCCCGTGAGAAAGAACTGGGTTTGGGGGCCGGGGAGGGCGTGGGAGGGGCTCCGTGGCAGAGCAGCTGAGGTGCAGCTGGGCCTGTGGTGGGGAGGCGGTGTTGTGGGCGCCTGCTCCCCCAGCACGCACCTCAGGTCTGCAGCCTGGTCCTGCTCCTTTCCCATGGGTCATGGCTGGGCCGTGGCTGCTGCTTCTCCTGGCCCTGGGGTGTCCAGCTCTGCCCACAGGTGAGCGCCCTCTTTGTATCCCTCTCTGTCCTCTCCCCCCGTCCCTGGTCATCTGCCCAAGGCCAGCTCCTCGCTCTGGCCTCCCTGGATATAATAGGGAGGCAGGGGGCCAGGACAAGGGCTGCTCAGAGCCGCCTAGGCAGAGTCTTGGCAGAAATCCTTTATCCCCTTCCCACTGTACTATACCCCCAGACCCCTGCCCCAGGACCCACATGCTGCCGCCTGGGCTCCGCAGTGCTGGTGGGGAGGGCAGTCCATCTCGGGGTTCAGAGAAAGAAGGCCAACCTCAATGGGTATCCAAGGACGCCTAGGGGTGAGGCTAGCCAAGGCCGTGTTATGTGACATGGAGTGAGGTCCTGTCCTGTCCTGTCTGCCCTCAGGGTGCCCAAGTCCTACAGGACCCAGGGGGTCCCAAACTCACTTCCAGCTCCCTCTATCAGTGAGCTCAGGAGAGGCCCAAGGCCCCTGAGACTTTCCAGACTCTTTGCCCCCAGCCTTCCGCAATCAAGGATGCAGCCAAAGGAATCCCAGTTCCATCTAGACGCACGTGCGTGTCTGGTGTGCACGGCAGGCCAGAGGTCTGGGTCTTGGAGTCAGGGAGTCTCGTTGCTCTAAAGCTGGTCCCCAACATGTCACGGACACTTCCTCCCTGGAGAGATAAACCACACCTCTGTGGGACAGGGAAAGCCCTTGGCAGGAGGCCTGAGCTCTGGGAAGGAAGCAGCCAAGGAGAAGAGGAACAATCCCCAGAGGCTTCATGGAGGAGGCAGAAGCCGAGCTCAACTTAGGTGGTGGGGTGAGAGGTCCTGACCCAGACTGCAGAGTGTGGGGTTCACTCCCATCGCCTTGGTGTGCAATGCCTTGTGAATAATTCACACCACAGCGAGGCTAATGCTCATCGGCCAGGGCATTCTGAACTCACGGTCTTTATTCTTCATGTTGTTTTTGCCAGACTGGTGCTACAAATCCCATTCTATTGACGGGACCCCTGAGCCTCAGTAAATTAAGTGGCTGAGTCAGGAGCCGATCCCAGCTCTGTCTGAGGCCGTGTCCTAGGCTTGGTCCACTGAGCCCTGTTACAAAATCTGACTTGTCATGCTTTCTGGGGAGGCGCTGCACAGGACTTGGGACCACAGGGATCTGAGTTCAAGTACTGGCTGGCTGGTTTCCCATGCAGGTGTTCCTAGGACAAGAGCTCTTTCCTGAGTGCCCTTCCCCCACCTCCTCACAAGACTCCTTCCTTTTGGGGCATTTCTTCAGCTTGGTTATACTTCACGACTCATGTGTGAATTTATTTGTAGGGTTATTTTTTAAAGATTTTTATTTATTTATTTTTAATTTTTATTTGAAAGAGCTATAGAAAGAGAGCGAGAGAGAGAGAGAGAGAGAGAGATCTTCCATCTGCTGGTTCACTCCCCAAATTGCTGCTATAGTCAAAGCTGGGCCGATCCAAAGCCAGGAGCCTGGAGCTTCTTCCAGGTCTCCCATGTGGGTGCAGGGGTCCAAGGACTTGGGTTGTCCTCCACTGTTTCCCAGGCCATTAGCAGGGAGCTGGATCGGAAGTGAAGTGACTGGGTCTTGAACCAGCACCCATGTGGGATGCCGGCATCCCAGGCAGAGGCTTAGCCTACTATGCCACAACGCTGGCCCCATAGGGTTTTTAAAGAAATATTTATTTATTGGAAAGGCAGAGTGCCTGCAGCAAACAGGCGAGGCTGAAGCCAGGGGCCAGGAACTCCTTTCGAGTCTCCTACGTGGGTGGCAAAAACCCAAGTACTTCGGTCACCTTCCACTGCCGTCCCAGGCCATTAGGAGGGACCTGGATTGGAAGTGGAGCAGCCAGGATTCAAACCAGCACTCCTCCATGGGATGCTAGCATCACAAATGGCAGCCTAGTGCAATGGCAGCCTCTGTAGGTTTTAACATTTGATATTTAATTTATATGAAAAAACTCAAATAGCCAAAAATAACATTGTGACATATACCAAATGAGTCATCTTTACTGAAGAGAATATAACTGGGAAATTAGAAATATCCTGGAAAACACAGGACAAATATTTGCAATAATCACATGACTTTTCTTAGAATTACAAAACAATAGGCCTGTTCTTCAAATGGGTGAACCATATGGTACATGGCTTGTAGCTCAATAAAGTGCATTCCTACAGAAAGTAACTGAGAATAATACAAGCGTACTTCAAAAACTGCATGAAGGGGCCGGCATTGTGCTGTGATGGGCTAACCACTGGTTAAATCGCCATCTACAATGCTGGCATTCCACACGGGCACTGGTTTGCATCCCGGCTGCTCCACTTCCTATCAAGCACCTTGCTAATGCACCCGGGGAAAGCAACAGAAGATGGCCCAAATCCTTGGGCCCCTGTACACACATGGGAGATCCGCATGAAGCTCCTGGCTCCTGGCTTCAGCCTGGTCCAGCTCCGTCCATTGTGGTCATCTGGGTAGTGAACCAGCAGATGAAAGATCGCTCTCTCTCTCTCTGTAAGTCTGCCTTTCAAATAAATAAGTCTTTTTTTTTTTAAAAAAGTCATGAAAATGGAATTAAAAAATAAGATTATTTTGGCACAAAAAATGAAATTCTCACAGTTTTTTCATAATAGGCATTTTCCATGAACTTTTAATTTTTATTTATTTTTAAAATATTTATTTATTTGAAAATCAGAGCTACAGAGGGAGAGGACGAGACAGGTCTTCCATCAGCTGATTTACTCCCCAAATGGCCTCAAAGGCCAGGGCGGGGCCAGGCCGAAACCAGGAGCCAGGAGCTTCATACAGGCCTCTCCCGGGGGTGGCAGGGGTCCAAGGACTCAGGCCATCCTCCGCTCCTTTCCCAGGCGCATAGCAGGGCGCAGGACAAGAAGCAGAGTAGCCAGGCACTTGCATATGGGATGCCGGCAATGTAGTGGCAGATTAACCCACTGCCCTATACCACTGGCCCCTAAACTTATCTTTCAGTTCCACTTTCCATGAACTTTTTGAAGTACCCTCTTCTAACAAACACCCACACAGATTAACAAATGGTCAACGTTTTGCCATATTTGAATTGTATATTTTCCCAGAGAAACAAAAAGTGACAGATATATTCAGAGCCCCGTTGGATCTCATTCTGGTCCCTATTCCTTCCCCTCCTCCCCAGAAGTAACCTCTTTCTTGAGACTGGCACCGCATGGTATTATAAATGCTTATGCATCTGCTGCCTCTCCCACAGCACTGAGTTCCCGGAGGCCAGGAACAGTGTCTTACTCAGTGTTACATCCCCAGGGCCTGGCGCAGAAACATGGAGCTTAAATGTGATTGACAGGTGGGAGTGGAGGATGGATGGATGACAAACACATGAGTGATGGGAGGGCATGGGAGTGATGGGAGGATGCATGAGCAGAGGGGGTGACAGAATGGATAGATGGAGGAGAAAAAGGCTGGCTAGATGGGTGAATACAAGCCGGGAGTGATGGTTAGCCGGCTGGTGACAACGGAGGGACAGGTGGAACGATAATACCGCACAAGCCCAGCCTACAAGGAGATGCCGGCCTGGAAGGGTCTGGGCTGGACACCCGTGCTGTTTTGCAGGTGTGGGCCACACGCCCTTCCCCTCTCTGGCCCCACCAATCACGCTGCTGGTGGACGGAAGGCGGCAGACGCTGGTGGTCTGCATGGTCTTGGATGTTGCACCCCCGGACCCAGCCAGCCCCATCTGGTTCTCAGCTGGCAACGGCAGCGCAGTGGACGCCTTCACCTACGGCCCATCCCTTGCGATGGATGGCACCTGGACTAGTGTGGCCCAGCTTTCGCTGCCCTCGGAGGAGCTGGCATCCTGGGAGCCCTTGGTCTGCCACACGGGGCCCAGGACTGGGGGCCGCAGCCGGAGCACACAGCCCCTCCAGCTATCAGGTGCGGATGGTGCCTGGCCTCCTGTGGCTGCTCCCTGTCCCCTCCTGCACACCCAGGAAGCAGGGTATGGTAGGAGGGAGGGATCCAGGCCACCGAGGCATGAAGGAGGTTCAAGTGCAGAGCATCCAGGGAGGCAGTACCTGGGCTCACGGCAGGGCGGCCTCAGCGTCAAGAATCCTAGGATTTGCAATGTCTAGTTCAACTCCAGGTTCTGCTGCAGACCTTCGAAGAAATAGTAATGCCTTCTCCCTCCTAGGGCTGGTTACACACACACTCACCCTGTATATCCACATTCACGTGGGAGTTCACATTATTGCCCCCTGGTGCAGCTACAGGGAAGTAAAGTCGCATGTCCAAAGTCAGCCATCATTATTACTGACCAGACCATTACTTCCTCTTTCTGGATTACCTCGGTCTTCCCATCTTCCAAATGGGCATGTTTGCTGACCAAATGTCCTGCCCTCCAAAGAGTGCTTCTGACAGTCGGTCCTCGCAGCAAAGTGCTGGGCCACCATGGCCTGCCCCCTACCGCAGGGCATAGGACAGGGCGCGGTGGTGAGTGAGGGGGTCTGGGCCCCTCAGAGGACTTGCAGGAAGTGAGCTCAGGATGTCGCTGCTGGCTCAGTTGTCCATCTACGCAATGCACCCTGGGAGCAGCACTGCCCAGGGCCGGGGCACAGTGCTGAGGTGTGGCCCTGTCCTCTGCTGTGCATGGCCCATCCCTGGGGACCCACTCCCTTCTCCTTTGCTGGCAGGTGAGGCCTCCCCAGCCAGGCGCTGCCCCCAGGAGCCTCCTAGGGGTGAGTACTTGGAAGCTGGGGCTGGGCTGGGAATAAGGGCTGGGGACCAGGACTGGGACTGGAGGACGGGACACAGCTCTGACCTGACATGTCCCGCCCAGCCTCCTAGGGGTGGGGGCTGCCTTGCCAGGTTGGGGGCACTGTCTGCCGTTCGATGAGATGGGGCTGGAGCCTCTGACCCCTGCACAGGTGACAGCTGACACCAGGGTCCTTGAACTGTGGCTTGGGGGGTGGCTCAGGCATCAGAGCCAGTGCCCATGGGATCCTGCCTGAGGGGGTGGGGTGGAAAGAGCGCCACGTGGGCAGTCATGAGGTCAGCTCTGGTGCCACTCTGCTTCCTGACCAAACAGGAAGTTGGGGGCTCTCTGTTCTCACGACATGAGATACGAGCTCCTGCCTGGTCCCCACGCCTCCCTACCCTCAATGTTGGGGAACAAAATAAAATGAAGGCCGGGAAGGGGCACCTCCTTGTCAGCAAGGACTGAGGTTAGACATCAGGAAGGACTAACGTTCTCCAGGTGGCACTCTGGCCTCCTAAGCCGACTTCCTCCGCAGGGATGGCAGCCCAGGCCCTGAGGCTGGGGGCGCTGCGCCTGCTGCTCTTCAAGCTGCTGCTGTTGGACGTGCTCCTGACCTGCCACCGCCTCGTGCCCCCAGGGCCCACCTAGCCCTTCCAGCCAGGGCCAGCGGCCGGACTCACAGGACCTGCCCTTAGTACCCACTCCTCTAGCCTGGGAGCATTTTTTTGCATATGACCTGCCTCCCCTTGAAGCCCAAAGCTTCCTGGGGCTGGGCTCTGCCTCCACTCTCAGACTGTCTCTCCCTTCACACGGGAAGCCCTTCCAGGGTGGCGATCCACCCAGGCCCTGCAGTGTCTCTGGTGCAGAGAGCTGAGCACAAAGAACCTGATGAAAAGTCTCCTTCTCTCTCTCTCCCTCTCTCTCTGTAACTCTGCCTTTTAAATAAATAAATCTTCCAAAAAAAAAAAAAACTTAAATGATGCAAGCAAATTACAAATATTCTAACTCATGTCTTTCCTGGGAGGGGGAAATTGGGCAGATTTCAAAGAAGCAAAAATCTGGGAAGGCTCCCTTGAGGAAGAGGAACCGGGAATTGCAGCGTGGGGCGGGGGCTTGGGGAGGATGCTGTCCCATCCCCCTCTCCTTTCCCCACAGCCAGGCACTGGGCAAGGCCCAACCTCTGGGAAGAGTCAAGGCAGGGAGCCCGGGAGCCCAGGAGCCCAGAGGATGGGTGCTGGGCCTGGGGTGAAGTCTTGTACAGACTCGACAGAAGCGCACAGGGCCAGGATTCCGGGGTAACAGGATCACGTCCAATGTTAAGAGCACAAATGGTAAATTCCAGACTTACATGTTGTTAATCAATTAAGGGTTATTATTCATCTGACAAATATTCTCTGAGCATCAACAATGGGCCAGGCACGAAAGAGCTTTGGCGTTTGGGGTTTCGTTTAGTTTCCTAAATAGGACTCTTGGGCGGACAGAACACGAGGCTCCCACGCCAACTGAGACATGGGTGTGTGCTATTTGCACAGTGCTGGTGGGAAGTGCAGCCTTGTCCAGGGGGTCTTCCCTAGTGGTCACCCTGGGAACCCGGGGTGCTCTCCTGTGAGTACAGATGTCCTCTTTCCTCCAAGGAACAGCCCCTCACAACCACCCACAACCCTGGCTTCCCTGAGCCCCCGTGGTCACTCAGCTGTGGCTCCATGAAGACCCTGTGTCCCCCACTGCTCATCTCTCAGCAGCTTGTGAGGGGACCCTCCCTCCTCTCCTTTGGATTCTTCGGGGGGGTCCCACATTTGACACCCCCCCCCAGGACCTGCTTCTTCTCCGAGACACAGACTGAGGGAGGAGGCTGTGCTGGGTTCAGGGAGGGGTCCAGCCATGCTCAGACTCTCGGCCACTGTCCCAGCTCTCTCCCAGAGAGATCAGAGGCCCTCGTGTCCATTCCAGAAGCTTCCCTCGGCTTCAGCTCCTCTCCCCATGCTGCCCCAACTTCCCCACCCTGCCGTGCCCCTGTCTCTAATCTTCAGAGTGACTAATGTAACGTTTTTTTTCCAGGAGGCCTCTGGACCTCGGTAAAGCAAGGGCTGTGGCCGGCCTTGGAGTCTAGATGACACGGGGACTCGGCCTGACCCTGTATTCTGTTGCAGTTCCACGTGCCCCAGTCCCTGCTTGGCCACATACTTGTTACCCACATACTGTTGGAGTAAGAAGCTCGGGCGAAAAAATGACAAAGTCAAGGGCTTGGGCCTCAGTCTGTTCAAATCTTCATTTTTTTTTTAAGATTCATTTTATTTATTTGAATGGCAGAGTCACAGAGCGGGGTGAGGGAGACAAAGAGAGAGGTTCACTCCCCAAGTGATGCAACAGCCAGGGTCAGGCTGAAGCCAGGAGCTTCTTCCGGGTCTCCCACACGGGTGCAGGGGCCCAAGCATTTGGGTCATCCTCTGCTGCTTTCCCAGGCCATTAGCAGGGAGCGGGACCAGAAGTGGAGCAGCTGGGACTCGAACTGGTGCCCATATGGGATGCTGGTGTCCCAGGTAGAGGCTTAGTCTACTACACCACAGTGCCAGCCACCAGTTCAAGTCTTCATAAAACAGCCTAAGTATCTAACCTCTCGGAAAGACACACAAGGTACTGAACAACAGGGCTTAATGATAAAAATGCAACCTTCAGGCAAATTCCAGAAGCAGCCTTGGTCTGTGTGTCCATAAGACATTGAGCTCAGAGGCAGCCTAAAGCAGTCCCCAGAGACCCAGAGTCCTCTTCCTCCTCCTCCTAATGACGCAGCAGATGGGGGTCTCTGCAGAGGACAGACAACTGCTCTTAGCCACATTCCTGCTCAGGCCCACAGAAACCAGCACCAGGGCAGTAAAAGGGACGGAGAATTGCATACTAAAGTAACACAACCTGTTCCATTAGCTTTCACTTCACCTATCTGACCTTCCTAACCACAGGCAAATCTCACACAGCAATGAGGAAGAGCACTCTGCAATCACACAATCAGAAACTGCATGGGGCCAGCGTTCGTCCCGCTTGGGACAACCACACCCCAGACAGATCAGAGTGCCTGGCTCCAGTCCCCGATACTCTGCTTGCGGCCTGGGAGGCAGCAGATAATGGCTCAAGTGTTTGGGTCCCTTGTGGAAGAGCGGGACGAATTTCTGGGCTCTTAGCTTCAGCCTGATTTGTTGCAGGCATTTAGGGAGTGGATTTCTCTCTCTCTTTCTTCCTTCCTTCCTTCCTTCCTTCCTTCCTTCCTTCCTTCCTTCCTTCCTTTCTTTTACAGGTAGAGTTAGAGAGAAAGGTCTTCCTTCCTTTGGTTCACCCCCACACACACAATGGCCGCTACAGCCGGAACTACACCGATCTGAACCAGGAGCCAGGTGCTTCTTCCTGGTCTCCCATGCAGGTGCAGGGCCCAAGCACTTGGGCCATCCTCCACTGCACTCCCAGGCCACAGCAGAGAGCTGGACTGGAAGAGGAGCAACCGGGACTAGAACCTGGGCCTATATGGGATGCCGGCACCACAGGCGGAGGATTAACCTAGTGAGCCACGGTGCCAGCCCCTCCATCTCTTTCAAATAAAATGAAAATAAATAGGGGCCAGCGCTGCGGCATAGAAGGTTAAGCTTCTACCTGCAGTGCCGACATCTACATGGGTGCCAATTTGAGTCCTGGCTGCTCCACTTCCAATCCAGCTCTCTGCTGTGGCTTGAGACAAGCAGTAGAATATGGTCTAAGTCCTTGGACCCCTGCACTCACGTGGGAGACCCAGAAGAAGCTTCTGGCTCCTGGCTTTGGATGGGCCCTGCTCTGGCCATTGCAGCCATTTGGGGAGTGAACCAGCAGACTGAAGACCTTTCTCTCTCTCTCCCCATTTCTCTTTCTATATCTCTGCCTTTCAAATAAATAAGTAAATATTTAAAAAATAAAAATAGAAACTGAGCCTCAGAGAGGAATTATTAGTTTCAGTTCCCCCTCGGCCAAATCTAGTGTTCTTGGACACCCAGAGAGTTTGAAGGCTGAGACTGAGAACTGTCACTCTCACCGGAAGGGTCAACAATAAAATTCAAACACATGTGCTCAGTAAGGGGTTGCGCATCACGACCTCAGGAGGGAAGTGACGTCAGGGAGGCGGAGGAAGCCGCGAAGATGGCCTTCCACACGGATTCCAGAACCCGCCTGCCCAAGCCGACCCAGCTCCTGCGAGCCCTAGGGTCTGGGGCCCGGTCCTCAGCCCCTCCCAGAGTCTCCGTTAGGGGGTGTGAAAAGATGTTGCTATAGGTCGCTGAGGCCACCATCCGCTATCTCATTGGACGAGATCGAAAAAAGACCGTCCTCCCATTCGCTGGAGGCCAAACCCCGAGAAAGCCCATTGGCTGCGTCGTCCGCGGGCCTTCGCCCGCTTCGAAGGCGGGCTGAGGCCGGGCGAGGAGGGCGCCGGCGAGGGGCTCGCTGTTGCCGTGGTTACGCCTAGGCACGTGTGCAGTCCCGGAAGCGGCTCCGGGAAGCCGCTCGCCGCGCGCGCCGGGGGAGGAAGCGCCGGCCGGTCCGCTCGGCTCGGGTCCGGCTGGGCCATGGAGTCGTCGCCTGAGCCCGCGGCCCGCTGCCTTCTGCCTCTCCCCTTGCTGCTGCTGCTGCTGCTCCTGCTGCCGAGCCCAGAGCTCCGCCCGAGCCACGCCAGGGCCGAGGAGACCGACTGGGTTCGCCTGCCCAGCAAATGCGAAGGTGAGGGGCGGGGCCCGCGGGGCGTTTCCTGCCGGAGGGGCGGGGCTCGCGGAGAGGGGTCGTGGGGCGGGGGCTCGGGCTGTGTGCGCCGCGAGGCTCCGGGGTCGGGGCGCCGCTGGGCGCCGGGACGGGCGAGGGGGAGAGCGAGCCGTGATCATCCAGGCCGTGACGAGGGAGGTGCAGGGCATTGGCGCCCCCAGTCCAGGGTGGGGGTGGCAGGTGCGGGAGAAGGGAGTCAGTCATGAGACTACTTAGGAGGTAGCCAGGTAGAACCAAGTGCAAAGAGAGGGGCCCGCTCAGAGGAAACCACAGATGCCGCGGCCTGCAGGCCAAGAAGGGAAAGAGTTTGAGGAACCGAAAAGGCCCACGTGACTCGGGGCGGGGGGCTGGGAGAGCCTGAGCCGTCCCCTCGTGCCCACCCTGCAGCCTCCTCTGTCACCCCCGCTCCCAGCTCCCTGACGACGGGCTTTTGCCCGGATGTCTGTGCCTACAGTAGGGGGTGGGGACCCCGTTAATGTTTTTGGAATAAACATGGCCATGTGGGAGCTGTGGCTGCGTGTGGAGCAAGCAGGAGAGGCTCCAGGGCCCCTTCAGGGAGAGTGTGGAGCCGGGGGGGGGGGCACCTAGGAGAGGAAGGTGGATTTTAGGATGATGGAGAAGGGCTGAAGACCAGGAGCTGCCCAGTGATCGGGGCTGGGAGGTGCCTGCCTTGGTGCCTCCCCTCCACCTCTCTGGTCACCCACCCCTTCCGTCTCACCTCCCCAGCCTCAGGCCCCTCAGGAAGTTGGCTCTAGGATCCCTAAGCCCTGGGATGTGGGGGCGGGGGCGGGGGACACATAATCCTTTCATGTGAGAGATTAAAAGGGGGATGCTGCAGAGATAAGCTGACCTCACTGGAGGGGACCCCAGATGGCTTCTAGCCCCTGCCTCTGCCTCCCTCTGGAACAGGCAGTAGGGGGGTTAGGATGCTTCACTCTCAGCCTCCTGCAGTCCTGACAGATCCTTTGTCGGTTTCACTTCCTCTTCTCTCTGTTTTCTTTTTCTGATACCAAAGAGCCCCTACTGTTTGTCTTTTTATTCCCCTAGCCTCAGAAGCTCACATTAGTTTTCCATAGGAGGCATTCACAGACTCATGGCTGGGTAGAGCTGGAAAGGATCTTAGGAGACCATCCCCACCTAACCTTTGCTAACTGATGAAGATTCATGTAAAAGGGATTTCC